GTAAAAGCACAGGAACGCTAAAAAACCGCCCAGAGGCGCACGCACGCAACGAAACTCACAGTCACATACTGAAAAATGCATAGACACGAGGCCTACTTGTAAACAGATGCATATACACACAGACACAGACACAGACACGGTCACACAGACACACAAATGTGGCTAATTTTGAAACCTTCACGGATACTCAAATAAATGGACACGAATAAAAAACTACGGAAGCTAACACGTGCAAAGATCATCGAACACACAAATACTCACATCAAGGAATGCAGACAGAAACACGCACACAGACACGCAAAAACGTACGCAAAGACCTATGACCAAAGAAAAACTAGGCAGACCGTCGACTGAATATGCTTAGATGCGGATTCGCAGCTATGAACACAGACTCTCAGACAGGCAGACAGACATTAGGAGATGCAAAAAGACAAAAACACAGTAATGCTAACACGGAAATAAATCTAATAAATATGCACAGTTAAAAAATACATTTCCAACGGATCACAAAGTGTAATTTCAACAAGCGTTGCGCACATTAAAAACAAATACAATAAATATTAATAATCGGTCAGTAATATTTACCAAATAACAACGCAAAGTGATGAAAAAAATGCTTGATTATATTATTAAATAATATATCTTAAACTAAAAGTGGTATAAATGTAAACAGAAAGAAATAAATAAATAAGAAAAGACGGAAAGATGAAGCATAAATTTTAATAGAGACGGATAAGCAGTAAAAAAAAAAAAAAAAAACTAAATTCATTTGAAAATTGAATGAGCGGAGCTGGTTATGACATTTGTGACCAATTTGGAAGCTAGTAACCCAATCAACCTTAAGTATAACATCTTAAGTATAACACCCATAGTAGGTTTCCACATTGAGCCTAGTCTCATACAAACAAAAAAATAAAAAAAAATTAATAATATTAAAATTAAAAAATAAAAGTGAGAATAAAAATAAGAAATAAAAAATTTTTTTCGCTGCGTTACTGACTTTTCTTATTCTTTTTTGATCTGTTACTGCAGCTAACAGTTTCCTAATTTCATCTTTTTTTTTTTTTTTTTTAACTTACAATAAAAATAATTTTAGACAGCTGCAGAAAAGAATTGATTGAAAACATTAATGAAAGACCTGAACTTGCATTACGAAAAACAAAACAGTAAAAGCATCTACACCGGTGAGTCAATTTATCTAGTTTTCTAATCATAAAAGCGAATATCCCTTCTCTTCTTAAGCAAAACAACGTTGAAAAACTTGTTTATCTTTTTAGAGGTTAAAACCATTTACAGTTGCCATAATTTAGCTTTTCAAGAAAATAATTTTCTTCCTATTTTCATTTTTATAATCCTTGAAACTGCTAGTTTACTTCTCCTGAACCTGCACTATAGCTAAGTACATAAAAAACCGTCGAAGAGATTACAGGTTGCACGGAACCGTTAACGACGATACAACAGTGGATTTCTGATAAGTGTGTAAATTTAGCGAAGGGTGCTTTATTTATAGGTCTTCCTCCTCATTATCCTTACGCGTGCAGTAACATGCCAAGCCAACAAGTATCGTGAAAAAGAATATCGATGAGACCAGAAGTGTCCATGTCGCTAGCTGAAAATATATGCTATTATAAGGGAAATAACGGTTGAATCGTAAAAACTGTCAGTAGCAGTGCCGCAACTGGATGTAAGTCTAGCATACATTTCCAAAATTTTCTTTCAGGTGATGAACGCTGTGTAAACAGCGACTACTCATTCCAGAAAAATTCTCACTCTAGAATAATGTTCCATTTTCATGAAAATGAAATCTGTACGCACTGCCGGAGATCTACAAAACAAAAGTTCAAAAGCAATGAGACCCTCTCGGTAAAATCTGCAAGCAGCATACTTGACGCAACAGTACGCATGTATAATACAATTATAATTTTAAAAAACCTTTAAAAACCTACAAAAACGTAAATCAACTTCAAAGCATTTTTCTTTAGATTAGCTCAGGAAACCAACAAAGGACAGCACTGCTTAAAAAATTTATTAAAAAGAGCATATTTCAGAATCGGAAAAAGTAAAATACTTTCATATTCTAGTTTATAACCATTTGCATAAAAAAGTATCACATAATATACTGCGGTTATTTACATTTTACATCAAATTACAGACTTATAAAGCTTATTGTTTCAACTTTTTAAAAAATTTTGTTGGCTTTCGGAATCTGATTTTGGGTTTAAATACTAAAGAAAGAATTTAAACAACTGAGTCTACTGCTGGATCGTCGAAGTTCTTTATCATTTTTCGTCGCCAAGTTTCTTCACATGTTTTGTTTTTTTTAGCTGTAAATAAAACTAAGTAATTTTGCACCTTTCTTAAGAACAAACTTTCTCTTAGTTTGAGAAATACGCACGCTTTGGGCGAGTCTCATCAAAAAATCAGATAAAATAAAATTACCAAGCATATACAAACTTCTCCTAGCGAAAAATACATCAACATTGTTTTCCTTAAAAAAAAGTCATAAATATATAAATAGGTAAGGAATAGGTCTTATGTAAAGTAGCAAAGCAAGAGAAGCTCTAAGGTGGGATCGTAAAATCTTTGTACAGCCAAATAATCAAATTGATTAAAGTGAAGCGGAGCAAAGCGATCTCTTACACCCCCACCATTTTCTGCGCTAACGTTATTTTTTTCAATTGAAACTTAATAGCGTTGCATTTAAATTTTAACTTAAAATATTGGCAAAGACTTAGGCTAAATTTCAGAAATGCCCTTCGTTCAATCTTACTTCACAGAATATTATTCCTGCTTTTATAGAGAGTCCACTTCAGAGCTTGTTTGTAAATTGAATGCAGTTTAGTTTAGAAAAAAATATTGGCAATTTTTTTGTGATTTACATGTAAAATTGATGCTCTTGTAATTTTTAACTTTTTTTATTTGGACTTGAAAGGTCAGAATAGCTAGAGTGAAAACTTTTACGCAGATTTAAAACTACGTAGTATGGAGAAATAAGAAAAATCTCGGTTGTGCAAAAAACCAAAGAAAAATCGACTCTCCGTCAGAAAATTCACTTTTCTAGAACCTCTTTTTAGTCTTCCAAATTTTACGAACTAAAAAAATTCAAAAAATTCTGAGATGCTGATTTTTATTAGTGAGCTATTTACAACGCAGTGAACCACAGCTTTTATAGCAAGCAAATGAGGATGTTAAGTAAAGTCTGCTTGAATGACTTTTGCCGACTTTAAAGAGAAACTGGCAGCCAAACTTCCTTTATCTTAATACCGCAGAGCCTCTTTATAGAAGATGTTAAGAGAGGAATCAGGTTAGCCTCTATCATAAATTTCTGTTTTCTGGAATCGTTACTAAAAAAACCATAGAAAAAATATCCTTTGGCATATTCACATGCACCACTACTTTATGTCGTGTTTTAGGTGTCGCGAAAACTAAAAAAGGGGAATTTGAGACACATTTGCTGTTCAATAACCAACGTTGTGCTCACCTACCCCTATCCAAAACTACATTCTAATTTGGTGCAGTAATTCTTTTAAAATGGTAATAAGGCACGATGAGACAAAGAAATTCTTTTCGTACGGCACAAAAGTAGAAACTCGAAAACAAAGTTTTTGCTTTGAGAATGCGACGAGAGAAAAAACGAAAGGTTAATTATTAAAAATACTACACTAAAATACAAAAAGTTCCAGTGAGATTAATCAAATAGAATTTATATCTGATTGTTATTCAGATAAATCGTTTGGAAGTAGTTCAATGATAGCAGAAGCAAAAATAAGGGTCGTCGCGTGTACCCCTTACTCTTTCGTCTCAATCTCCTCGCAGTATGAGATCTTATGTTTCTTCTGTTTCCTTATGTTTCTTATAATCTTATGCTTTACTTGGAGTGCTCACTTTAGTAATACTTTTCCAGCATGAGTATTCTGTCGTCCTTCTCTTTTAATTCTTTAAAAAACTGCAGCATTCAGTTTAGCTTACAGTTTAAGATGAGACCGGCAACTTACATTATCCGTAATACTAAAATTTGCCGTATTCGACGCCGAGTTAATCTAAAGAATTAGAACAAGATTCCTTGCAGCTTTCCTTGAGAAAAAGTAGACAAATTTAACTGCATTTGTGAGCATATACTTTTTATCTTCCCTTTATCAATTTGCAGAAAAGCAATCACCCATCCTTACTGAAATATACATATTTCTCATCAGTACTCTTTAAAGTTCCAAATTTAATGCCTCACCTAATGAAGGCTTTTTTCACAAAAAGCTATTTCAAGTGTTGCTGAAAGTCGATAGAAAGTCGTAATTCTGTAAATTTGGATCTTTCGCTATAAGTGAGATGTAATAGCCTCTGTTTTCAAAATTTAGATCTTCATATAGGAAAAATTGCTGGAAATACAGGCAAAAAGAGCATTCGAAGAAGGCCCTTGAAATTGATACTTAAGCTGTACTGAAGATTTTTGATTCAAGCGATAGCGTTCATATAGCATCAATTCAGGTGCGAATACTTACAAAAATGTTCCGCGACCAAAACTTAGTTTCTACAATTCAGATTCTTATATAACTGGTAGAAACAGTGGTTAAGAGTGGAGAAAATGAATGTTAGGTTAATCAAACAAGAATGAAGCTAAAAGACAAAAAATAAAATGTTTTGCACTCCAGATTACGCATAAAACTTTTAATTACTTATTAGATTTCTGATAAAATCGTGGAACAAACATAATAGCAAATATGCTTTTAAAGATTCCGGAAAAATATTGCTTATCTCTTTTCCTCCTCTTCCACAGTCTTTCCCATCTTCTTATAAAAAACCTTCCAGCAATCAGAAGTTCTCCTCCCCTTCTGTGCTAGTTGGCTGAGAGACGAAGAAAAAACAGAAAATATTTGAGAAATAGGAAATTTAATAACAATTATTGAAAAGATAAAAAACTTCAAAAGACGATGATGATTGAAACCCTTAAATTTAAAAACTGACCAATTATCGTATGTTAACAAAAAATAAAATTCAATTCTTAGGAAAAATTTCAAAAAGTTGTTTCGAAAAAGTAGTATAGAAACTCCTGACACAGTTACTTAAAATTGGTCGGCAGAATTCATTAAGCAGATTTTTTAGTATTTCAAAAA